TTTAGTTTTTTAGGTAAATTTGAAGGAAATAAAATCCAATTTTGCCAAACCAAGACAGAAAACTGCAAAATTGAATTTGGAAATTGTTTTCTTTGCTTGTTTTTAAGAATGCAAACCGGTTTTTTTAAGAAACTTATTGAATTTGAAAAATATCGTTAAAATAAGATCGCAAAATTAAGCGAAAAAATTGTTATTTTCTATAAGTTTGGGAGTGTTTATTAACGAAAAACGCTCAAAATTGTAAAGATTTTGCCAAAACAAAGTATGAAATTCTAAAAGCATTTTTAAGATGACTTAATTTTGTTTATTTAGACAAAATTTTGACACTTTTTATCGAGAATTGTCTTTTTACTATTTTTCTTCTTCTTTTTTTCTCTTTTTTTCTATCACTTATTTAGCTCAATTTGAGAGAAATTTGCTCAAACAATGTAGACAATTTCAAAAGTAGGTTTGAAAATGCGTTATTTTTGTTTCTTTTTCAAAATTCAATGCGTTTTTTTTACATAGAAACTCACAAAATCTGAGAAATTAGCTAAAATAAGGCAGAAAATTGCGAACTAAATTTAAAAATGAGTTTTTTTCTTTGTTTTTAAAAATTCGAACCGTTTTCTTAAGAAACTTATTACTGAATTTGAAAAATATCGTTAAGATAAATTAGGTAAAAAATTTGTTATTTCCAATAAGTTTTAGAATATTTATAAACAACGCTTCAAAATTTTAGAAAGTTTGTCAAGAAGAAAAAAAGAAAAGTAGAAAATTTTAAATGTTTGTCTAAAATAGTTTAATTTTGTTTATTTTGACAGATTTTTAGTACTTTTTATCTCTCTCTTTCTTTTATCTCTCTTTTTTCTTTTTTATCTTTTGTCTTAGCTGTTTAAGTAAATTTGAGAATAATTTGCCAAAACAACACAGATAATTGTAAAATTACATGAGAAAATGCGTTATTTCTGCTTTTTTTAAGAAAATCAAAGAGTTTTTCATACTTAAAATTTTTATTAAGATAAAGTCAAAAATCGCAAATTAGGTCAAAAATTTGTTATTTTCTGTAAATTTTGTGTGTTTTTTAACAAAAAACGCTCAAAATTGTAGCAATTTTGCCAAAACAAAATAGAAAATTGCAAAATTTGACCTAGGAACATGTTTTTGTTTATTTTGATAATTTTTTTTTGAGAAAA